CGAGGGAGACCACACCTGGGGCCGCCGGCCACCCCCTCCCCAGGGCTGGAGGCGGTCTCCGCCCACCTCTGCCTCCCCGGGGCTGGACACACAGAGGCCCAGGGCCGCGGTGCTGGTGGCCGACATGTTGAAGCAGGAAGGGTGCTGGGTGATGAGCGCTCAGGCAACCCGCAGCCCACGCCCTAGGAAACAAGCAGGACCTCACAGTGCGGGACGTGGAAGGGCTGGGCTCTTCTAAGAGGGAGGAATCCGGGGAGGCTCTCAGGAGGAGGTGAGATGTCAGTTGGTTATTTGTGTGCAGATAGAAGGAGGGGCAGTGCAGGGAGTGTCCCAGGGAGCAGGCAGCCCTGGGCTGGGCTGCAGATGGGGATAGGAGGGGTGCGCAGGGTCAGCTGCGGTGCGCATGCGTCTGGAAAGCACACACCCGGAGAGGGCGGGGCCCAGGGTCATCAGGGCGCCCAGAGGCGGGATGGCCTCTGTGTGCTCTTACAGGCTGCTGCAGGGACCTGGGCCAGTCCAGGGGCTGCTTGGGGCCCAGGAGCTGGGCTGGCGGGCACGGTGCGGTGCTGCCGCGGAAGGCGAGGCCGTGCAACAAGTCCTGAATCAACGCCCTGTGACGGCTAAGAGAAGCGGGGTCCAGGGGACCCGCACTCTTCAGACTGGGCCAGGCACAGAGGGGAACAGGATCCAAGTCACCAGGAGGGGGCGACAGAGAGTTCCTGTTTCCCTGCAATCAGGGCTAAGCAGCGCCTTCCCAGCTCACCATCCTGGGAGGGCCGGGGGTGCTGGCACGCGGGGAGCTCGCCAGGCGCCCTGTGCACCCGCGTGGTCGTGCCGCCCCCTCCCCGTGCCCACTGGCTCTCCTCTCTCTAAATATATTTCAAGTACATAAAGAAATCTTTGATAAATAAGTAAAGTTCGTTTGGCTCTCAGGTGAGACTGAGGGGTCCAGGAGTGAGGTGCTGGCCCTGGTGAGGGCCCTCGGCGGCATCCCAGCACGAGAGGGCGCGGGACTTACTGCAAACCCCCCGGAGTGACTGACTGCCTCCCAGCACGGGTCCCTCCATGCCTGAGTGTGGCGCGCCCACGACCTAACCATCTCTTAAAGGGCCCATCTTTGACATCAGGACGGGAAGTGAATTTACGCTCATGTTCAGGTGGCCCCTGCTCTGCACGGTCAGATCAGCGTCCTGGCACCACCCAGACCAGCCTCCGGATAAACACCCCCCCCCCCCCCCGCAGAGCTGCCGCCTATCTGCCCCTCTCTACCCCTGCCTGTGACTGTGCCTGGCCTGGGGCTCCCCCTGTCGCCCCCGCTGCTCTCTGAGGCCGAGGCTGTGCAGCTGTGCGTCCGGAACCTCCCCTGCTTCTCCCACCACCCCGTCCACCACGCCCGGCCCCCAGCAGCCTGGGGACCCCATCCTCACGCCACCCCCTGCTCCCTGCAGGACAGGTGCACCTGCTGCACCTGCCTAGAACACCGTTCTCCACCCCCACCCTCTCCTCCCTGGGCGATGCCCCACCTGCTGCTCAGTGCCAATGCTCCTTCCTCAGGCGGCCCCTCTGCGGGACCTGCTGCCCTCACCTCGCACCCAGAGCAGTCCCCGTGCCGGCAGCGCCAACTCCTGCCCCTGCAGGGCTGCCCACGGGGCGCCGGGGCGCCTGCACAGAACACGGATCTGTTCCCTGCAGCCGGCTCAGTGCAGAGCGCAGGGCGATTGAGTGAGGAGCCACGCAGCGTCCTGCTGAGCCCTCTCCTCCCCGTCCCCTCCCAGCCATGGACAATCAGTGTCCAGGAGAGGAAGGGCTGTGGTGCGCAGGAGCTGGGCGTCTCCCTCAGCCCGGCTCCCCCTGCACCTGCCTGGGGCGAGTTCTGCTCCCTCCCTCAGAGGAGGAGTTTGGAGCTGAGGACAGCCTTCCAGGAGGGCAGCGCGCCCGGGGTGCTTCCCAAACACAAAGCCACCTCCTGTCCCCCCAGCCCCTGCCCAAGGGTTTAGGAACTGCCCACAGCTCTGGAGCTGCCGGCCGGCTGGCGAGGGGCGGCGCGCCCTCTGCTGGTGAAGCGCTGAGCTGCAGGGACGAGCTGCACAGCACAGGCCCTGAGCCCTGGGTGAGGGAGATGAGACCCCATGGGGAGCTCAGGAAAGTGCAGGTTCCCGCCCTCCTGACGCCACGCCCACCGATGGTTCTGAGGCAGGGGGCTGGTGGGAGCGCCCGCGACTCTGGGCTGTGACCAGCTGCCCTCTGAGGCCCCACCTGAGGATAATTTCTGGCCCGGCCACTGGCCCCTGGATATGGGACATCTGAAAGGTGGGGCCCTATTCACCCCCATCCTGTCCTCACCAGGCCCCAGGACAGCTGTGTGCGACAGAGACCCAGTCAGTCTCTGCCGAACCAGTGAGCAGCCAGCAAAGCCGACCCAGGAGAAAGGTCCCCGGGCTGTTGGCTCTGCGTCACCCCCCTTCCCACAGCCCTGGGGTTGACTGGGCAAACACTGGGTCCAGCAAGGCAGATTTCAAAACGCCCTTTAGAAGCATTTAAAAAAAAACTTGAAAGATTCCATGCGGAGGTGTTGTCTGTCCCAAGCAGGGCCAGGGCCCTCTCTGGCCCTCTGCTACTCCCCGGGGCCTCGTCCTCCTGTTGCCTTGGTTACGCACGAAGGAGGCTGACTTCCTGAAGACGGAGGGAGCCCTGTGTGGGAGTCCTACCTGGTCTCACAGGGGTTGGCAGAGGGAACAGTGTGAGGGGCACCCAGAGACGGACCCCAGAGGGGGTGACATGTCTGGTGACCTTAGTGAGTGATGTGGCTTCACTGTTAGTCTACAAACCCTGACGCGGAGGGCTTGGCTGTGCTGGAGATGGAAAGATAAACTGGTGTGTGGGTTGTCGAGTTCTCCCTGCCAACAACCACGTGGGCATTAGACCCCTGCTGGGTGTCCACAATCCAATCCATGGGACACCGTTTCCCTAGAGGGAGAGGCAGCCAATGTGGAACGCCCTGCACGTGCTGGCCGGGGTCCCAGCTTCCAGCTCAGGAGAGCAGTGAGGGCAGCCAGGATTTGGCGCCAGCCCAGCCTGCCCAGGAAGGAGGGGCCTCCTGGGTGCAGAGGCCGAGCAGCTTCCAACATCCCCGGGCTCGCAGCCGCGACCACGACACCGGGCCCAGAGCTTTCCAGGAGGCCCCCGGGTCCACTGAGCACAAGGGTAGAACCTGCCTGTGGTTGTGTCAGTGTTCTGGGCTGTGGGGCTCTGCGACCACACTGCTGCCAGGATTCCGTGCGCGTGGGTGTTCCGGCTGCCCGTCCAGGAGGAGGCTCCCCGGGGGATGGGGCTGCTGCCCGGAGCACTGCCAGGCTGGGCTCGTGTGCAGGGAGCCTGCAGGTGGCTGTCTCCTCCCTCAGCTCACAAGGGAAGACCTTCAAGCCTGGCTTCTCGCTCTCCTTACAAGGGCACGTCTTAGAGCCCCCAGCCCTGCACCTGCACCGGGGGTGTAACATTTCCCACCCGGGTTTACGGCCAAAGTCAGCCCTGTTAGTCCGGATCACATAAGTTGCTCAATGGAAAGAACGAGCTAGAATGATGGCTGTCGCGTATCTGACATTCATAAGCAACGCGGCTGTGAGCGTTAAGAGCAGAAGTGACTTAAACAGACGGAAGTAGGATAAAACCCCCGGGTGAAGGCGCTCTGTACAAAAGGCTTAGCTCCTTTCCCCACATGCAAGGCTGAGGCTGAGGAAACCTGCGTATGCAGCCATGTAATCGTCTGCCCTAAAACAGCACAGAACGCAGCCTCACAAGCCCGGAGGACGGAGGGGAAGTCGGCCCCTTCTGCCCTTTGTCGCTAGAGAAACCAGGCGTATTCGGGACCAGGAATCAGCAGGCTCTGGCTCCGCAGCTGCGCTGCCAGAAAGCGCAGAGATCGGGGGTTCCCAAAGGCGCCTGGGAAGTGGAGTGGAGAGAAAGACACGGACACTGTGTGTCAGCACGATCCAGACACTGCAGCGATGACACCAGCCACCTGTCCACTCCTACAGGATCACGGGAGGGGTGTGGGTGCTGCAGGCTAAGCTGCCCCGTGGGACACCGCATCCCCTGGGGCGCCTGGGCTCAGTCCCTGCTCTGCCTCCTGACCCAGCCTCCGGCTAACGGGAGGACTGAAGGCAGCAGACGCTGCGGGCGCTCTTGGATCCTGGCCGCCACGTGGGAGACCCGGCTGCAGGTTCCAGCCATGGGCTCCAGCCTGGCCCGGCCCTGGCTGCGTGGGCACCTGGGAAGTGAACCAACAGAAGGAAAACCTCTCTCTCCCTCTCCCTCTCTGCTTTCAAACACATAAATATTTGTAAAATCCCCATGGAAGCCTCTGCACCTGACAGCAGCTGATGTGAGCGGCACACGTCAGCGGCCATCACGGGGCAGGTGTGCTGGGCTTTATTTTGGAGTCGTGCCAGCCGAACCGGCTGAGACGCCTGTGGTGCTGGTTATGGCTTCTCTTACCGCGGATTGCCAGTCCTTGTCAGGTGGGGAAGTGGGGGTGGGGGAGGTCTGGCCGGGGCCGTGCGAGGCCTGTGATGTCACTGTTCCAGCCTGGCCAAGGCACCACAGGCAGGACTGGAAAGTCAGTCGATCTCCAGCAGGCTCCTGTTCAAGTTGGTGATTTTGTGCTGCCTGTAGACGATGTTAGGCTCGGGTGCCCGTGTAGGCCCTGGACGTGTGAGGATTCCCTGGCTCCACTCGACGACTCCAGGAGGGGCTGAGCAGCAGAGAGCCCTGGGTCTCTGGTGGCCACAGGGCTCTGAGACTCTGTCCTTGCTGGTGGCCTGGCACCGGGGGTTCCGCAGGACTAAGCCACTTCAGGGCAGGACAGCCAGGCCCTGGGAGGCGATCAGCCCCAGGCAGCACACACCTGGCCAGGGGCTGGAGCTATGCCAGGCTCATTTCAGGACAGGAGTCTCTGGTCACATGGGAACTGAGTGTCCCCACGCCCCCTGGACAGCGCTATAAGTCCCTGAAGGCTGTGCGTGAGTGTGGGACGCCAGCAGCGCTGGTCCAGCCCCACAAGCCACCTGAGCACCCGCAGGTTCTGCTGAGCCTCCTGAGCTGCCGTGGGGTGAGTGCTGGGCCCACTCCACACGGGGAAACTGAGGCACGCAGCGCTGCACTCCTGTGGCAGAGCCAGGACTGAGCGCTGGCAGCCAGGCCTCGGTCATGATACGGGGCAGTCAGGTGGGAGTCACTGGGCAGCTCCCGGCACACAGGGTCCGACACAGGCAGGTGCCGGGGAGGGGGAGCTGATTGAGTGCTCCTTGCCCTCCTGCTCCCGCCCCGCCTGGGCTCAGACTCAGCCTGTGTCCCCTGGGCCTCACCTGGCTCCCTCCCACCTGCAGGGTCCGGAGGAGGACCCCCACCACAGCCCCTCACTATGCATCTCTTCAGGGGCTCCTCCTTGGAGTCCTCCTTTCTCCCCCAGCTGAGCCACAGTCCTAGACCTCGGCTTGTGGATTCCTGCCCCTCGCCCCGCCCTGACTCCCTAGAGGAGAAAGGGGTGCCCTCTTACCTCCGGCCCACGGTGGCCGGTTACCCAGAATCCCACAGGATGGCCCGGGTCCTCTCACTTCTGCTTTGTCCACCCTCCTGCCACAGGGGCCCTGCCCTTGACCTCCTGGCTAGAGCAGCTGCCTGCAAGGGAGGGGTGTGTTCGTTACTCCTCAGTTGGCCCGGCTGCCTCTCCCGCCGCCTCCCCCTCTGTCTTTTCTGGGTTCACAGCCCTGTCACCTAATGTCATCCCCCCCCATCCTGCAGAGTCAGAGTCTACAACACCTGTTGATTTCTCGCCCGAAAGGGCTATTCTCTCGGAGAGACCAGGTGCAGGCCTGACTCCAGATCGGCTGCACTCATTCTCCCACAGGCCTCTCTCGGCGAGCACCTGCCCAGGTCAAATGCCTGCCTGGGTCCAAGTGCTGCTGTGCAGTGGAAAAGTCACTGGTGCTCTGGGCCACCCCCTCCTCCCCGCACACCTGCGTTGCCTGGAGACACCAGCAGGTCCCTGCCCCATCAGTGCTGGCTGTGGCTGGGACACAGAAAATGGCCAGGACGGGCCACGAGCTGCTGGCAGGAATCTCAGCTCATGTGCAGGGCCAGGAGCCCAGGCCCCACGGGGCGCACCCAGGAAGCTGCAGGGACAGCGGCTCCCAGAAAGGGTTCAGTGGGCACAGCACTGAGCTCCCAGGGGCTCTGAGCCCCACGGTGAGGGTGAGAGGATCGGCTGGGGCCTCCTTCAGGCCTGACCCCACAGGCCAGGGGGGATCCGGGGGCCCCAAACAGGGCCCTGCCACAGGAAGAAGGGGCGCCCCCAACTCCTGGCTCCTGGGGACCTTTGGCCAAGGGAGGTGAATGTGGTTGGGTCTCCCATGACCCAAGCCTGCTCTGAGCAGAGAGAAGTCTGAGCCAGTCAGGGAGCAGGGGACTCCCCCGTCAGCCGGTGGGTCCTGAGCCCCTGCATGGCTGGGCCAGGAGGCCCTTGGTGATGCTGGGAGACAGTGCACTGCCACCCAGGGAGCAGGGCTGCTGCCCGGCCCACCCTGCACAGGACAGCCCCGCCCCGCCCAGCACGGCCGCACCCGGCCCCACAGTTTGAGCGGCAGGACCAGCTGAGCAGCAGGTGCAGCCTCAGCACCAGCAGGTGCACAGGCGACGAGCTGAACACGGGGCACCCACGCAAAAGCTGGTGATGCAGCCGGTCCCAGCCTGCCCTGCTGGGTGGCCTGAGCAAACTGCTGAGTCACGCTGAGCCTCTGCAGTGGAGACGCTGAGTCACACTTGGGGATGAGAGGCAGAGTCCCTGAGAGCCTCAGGGCCAGGGCTGCCCCGGGTTCTGGCCGCCCATGGCTGGAAGATGCCGGCCCTCTGGGCAGTGCACAGTGGCCGTCTGTGCAGCCCCCAGTGACTTTTCTGAGGCCTGGACGTCCTTCCTGGGCCTGACATGACCCAGGCGAGCCCCGGGCAAGTCCCCTCTGCCTGCTGTGCGGCAGCGTCCTCTGTCGTACCCCGGGGGCTGGGACACTGGCCCGTCGAGGCCAATGCAGGAGTGAGCGGAGCTGTGCAGGGCGTGGACTCTGGCCCAGCTCGGGTGGGAGGTTCCGGCTCTGCCTGGACCTGCCCGCTGCCCTCGGGCATCGCCCACCCTCTGGGCTTTGCTTCCTCGTCAGTCAGGGCAGCACAGCGGTGTGCGCACTGGTGGAGTGTGCGGGCGGCAGGGAGTCCAGGCCCGTGAGACCAGGGCGGTGCTGGGCAGGAGGTGAGCGACGCCCAGGTGGTCGCGTCTGATTCTTGGAATGGTGATGATGGAGCCGTGTGTGGGCCTGGTCGGGGCGTGGGAGAGGTGTAATACCATGGTGCTGGGACGTGAGGTCACGGGAGGGCCAGGCCACGTCCTCAAGGGGCCACTCTCAGGGATTGCTGCTCCTCTCTTGCAGGACAATGCTGTCCTCCAGCTCACAGCGCCCCCTGCTGCTGGCAGTGCTGTGTTGCCTGCTGTGGGGACCAGAGGCCACAGGTGCCCGGCAGTCAGAGGAGTCCAAGCCTGTTGAAATACATTCCCAGCATCATTTTTGTCAAAGCATCTTCAACAACACTGCTGACATCTTTCTTTACCTGTACAAAGAGTTAGCTTGGATTTCAAAGAGCAGTAACATCGTGTTCTCCCCACTGAGCGTAACTGCCGCCCTCGCCACGCTCTTCCTGGGCACCAAGGCTGACGCCCACAGCCAGATCTGGAATGGCCTGGAGTTCAACCTCCTGGGGGCAGGGGAGCACCTGGTCCACGCCTGCTTCCGGCAGCTCCTCCGCACCTTCCAGCACTGGGACAACGAGCTGGCTGCCGGCAGCGTCCTCTTCATCGACGAGCGTCTGCAGCCGAGGGCTGAGTTTGTGCAGGGCGTCCAGCAGCTGTCCCACACTGAAGCCATCACCGTCAACCTCAGGGACACGCACGGGGCCAGGACGCAGATCAACAGCTTTCTGAGGAGGGAAACAAAAAACGAGATAACGGACTTGGTCCAAGAGCTGGAGAACGACACAAGCCTGGCCCTGCTGACGTACATTTCCTTCCACGGTGAGCCGGAGCCAGCGCCTGCGCGGGGCCAGGGCAGCCGCCAGCTGTGTCCCGAGACTGCCAGCGCCCCAGCGTTCCCAGGAAGTGCAGTGCAGGGCCGCCAGGGGTCCCGCAGGGCTGCTTTCTTCCCACACCCCAGCAGGTAAAGTAGGGAAAGAGGAGCAGAAGACAGCCACGTCACCGCCTGCCCAGGGGCCCAGCGAGAGCCGTCACTGTCCAAGCACTCACTGCAGGTGTCAGTCTCCTGTGCCGAGGAGCCGCACAAACCAATCAGAGCCCCCTCCAGGGCTCAGGGACCGCCCCCCAGACCGCTCCAGGGTCAGGGACCAGAGTTCGCTCTGGGGTCTGTAGGGTGTGGGTTCAGGTCCTGCCTTCTCACTTATTCGCTGTGGATATGGGAAAAGCCACCTGACCTCTCTGGGGTGCTGCTGTCCTATCTTATCTTGGACCAAATCAGGGCCCTGTTGTCAGGTGTCCGGGAGGATGAGCCACACGACAGAGAACGGGGGCTGTGTGGCGCCCAGGAGGTGACCAGCTACCTCGGCTCCCAGCTGCCTCCTGCCTCTGAGCACTCAGAAGGTCAGGGGTGTGGGGCCCACAGGGTGCTCTGAGGCCACTCCCATGTCCCAGGGAGAGGGAGGAGGGCGGTGGGGGTCAAGGCCAGGGCCCTCCCCTCCCCCCGGGGCTCCCTCCCTGCACAGTCCTGCAGTGCAGGGCTCCAAGCCTGGGCCGGCACAGCGAGCTCCCAGCTCCACTGAGACCTAGCACAGGGCTCGCCCCCCCCCCCCCAGCCAACACCTCCCCCTCCAGGGAGGAAGGAGGGTCCTAGGGTCCCCGGGGCACCTGCCTCTCTGGCTGTATTCACGGTGGGGTCCTCTTGGTGCCACACAGAGGGAGGCTGCCCGTGCACCTGCATTCCCCCTGCAGCTCCCAGGACACGGACTTAGGAGCAGCACGCAGCGTGCTCGCCCTGGGTGATGACTGCCCACCATCAGCAAGTCCAGGGAGCCCCAGGGCAAACAAGTTCCAAGCTCTGGTTCTACCCCTAATTCCTATTAAGCCCTCCCCCCAACCAGCCTCTGGCACAGACACACAAATGCTAACCCTGTGAAGAAGTACTTTCAGCAATGAGCCAGGACAAGGACTCGGGGGCCCTCCTGTGACGTCAGGCAGCTGTCACAGAGCTGTCCTGCAATGTGGGGTTCGCGTCTGCACCCCATTTGCAGATGAAAAGCTGAGGCTCAGGGACTCCTGTGTCACAGAGGGGGCTCCGGGCTCCTCACTGATCACAGTCCCTAACCGCCACCCCACCTCGCCGTGTCCCCAGGGAAACTCCGGGATGAATTCCACACTGAGCTCACGGTGGAGGAGAACTTCCACGTGGACGAGAGGACGACCGTCAGGGTGCCCACCGTCAACCGCCTGGGTGCATTTGACCTGCACCGGGACACCAACTTCTCCAGCTGGGTGCTGGCGCAGCACTGTCTGGGAGACGCTGTGGCCTACTACGTCCTGCCCGACGAGGGGAAGATGGAGCAGCTGGAGAGAGGGCTGACGCAGGAGCAGCTCGACGGCCTCCTGAGACCCTCGGACATCAGGTGCCTCCCGGGGCCGGGTGCTGCCCAGGAGCTGCCCGAGCTGGGCAGGACCAGCCGGGGCGGGGGAGGGGCCACCCGCAGCATGCACTGTGCTCCCTGGGGGCGTGGCTCCATTCCGGACCTGTGGGCTGGGGTCTGGGAAATGGCCTTGGCCGCAGAAAAGGCAATGATCCTGTCTCTGCGGGCTCCGCCCCCAGCATGGACACGGCCACTTCCCAACGTCCGTGCCCAACGTAGTGACAGTAACAGCAGCACAGGCTACGGCAGAACCAAGGAGGGCTTCCTGGTAAAGGCGGCAACGGAATGTGTTGTCCAAGCACAGATGTCCCTGGTGGGCAGGGGAAGAGGCCCAGTAGAGCAAAGGGCCAGAGTGGGAGAGGCCGGGACCCATCTGCAGAGAGCTGGTGTTGCTGTGACGTCACTCGAGTGCTCTCCTGGCCCAGCAGGGGAGGGCACCGGGCATGCCCAACCCCCACACAGACTTGTGCCTGGAACCGTGCCCATGCCCTGCAGAGCTGCTGCCTGCTGTGCCCTATAAGACACACATGACCGCACACACAGGGCTGAGGGTCAATGCCGAATGGACGCCTTCAGCCCTCTGCCCTGCCCCACCCTGCCTGAGGTCCCTGCACCAGGGATGAGAACAGGGGCCCAGGAGCAGCCACGGCCAGAACTCGTCACAGAGCCCCAGTGCCAGTCTGCCCGCCCACCAAAGCCCGCACCTGCTCCCCACAACCAGAGCTGAGCCCTAAGCCTGCTGGGTCCACTCTCCTCCCCCACGAGACAGCTGTCACTCAGCACCTGCCACCGCCAGCCACGTTCCCCTGGGAGCCAGGCACCAGGGAGTCCCCGGCTGTGGGGGCACCAACACTGCAGGGCAGGTTAGATGCTCTTCCAGGGACACCCTGGATCTGCCTGGCGGGCTTCTCAGGGGAGGTGGCTTTCCAGGGCCCTGTGGGTGCTGACACTCTGACACCTGCTGCAATGGGGGCTACGAGGACAATGACCAAGTCAGCGTCCCTGTGGGTGTGGGGGAGGGGCTGCACTAAGTGGGAGAAACCAGGAGGAAAGAACACAGTGCCCACGCTGGGCCCCAGAGGACGGGAGCAGGAATGAGACGTCTGCACTGTCTTCCCGCACGGCAGGTCCGCCAGCGTGTTCCTCCCCAAATTCTCCATCTCTGGGACCCACGATCTGAAACCCCTCCTGGGCAAACTGGGCATCACCAACGTCTTCAGCGACGAGGCTGACTTCTCGGGGATCACGGAGCAGGGCCCCCTGAAGCTCTCCCAGGTGAGGTCGCCCCACTGGTGGGCTGTCCCTGTTGTCCGAGGGCACGGGAGGGGCCGGATCCAGACCGGAGACTGAGGAAGGGACAAGGACACACACCAGGGCCACCTGGCTCCTCCCCAGGAGCCTCTTGATTGCCTGGGACGGGACGGGAAGTGTCAGGTGGCAGAGCTGGGGAGGGGGCTTCCTGTGCCGCTGGCCTTGTCGGGGTCTCCCCTGCGGTCGGGTCACTGACCTGTCCACAGGTTTCCGAGGGCCCTGCAGTCCTGGGCCGCGATTTCCCCACATTTGCAGCGGGGCCCAGTGAGTCAAGGCAGTCCCCGGCTCCTTCCCTCTGTGGGCCGCGCAGCCCTGGGTGCCTCCAAGTGTGAGTGTGAGGGATTCCAGCAAAGGGAGCCCTGAGCACCCAGATCCCCTCCTGCCCTGGGGCCCCTGAGCCTGGGTGGTCGGAGCCCAGGGCATCACCTTCCCCGTTTTGTCTTAAAGAATCTGAAAATCACAGAACCAAGAGCCCTGTGGTGCACACAGGCCCCGCAGAGGCTGGGGGTGCAGCCCGGGGCTGAGAGAGGGGAGGTGGGGACCTGGGAGGGGCAGAGCCCGGGACACAGAGAAAGGTCTGGTGTGACTGCAGCGGAGGGAGGAGGGGACAGGCAGTGCCTAGGGCGCGGCGTCCACCTGGAGCCTCAGTGTGGACAGCGCAGGCTCCGGGCTTTGCTTCTCTGCCCCGCAGGCCACACACAGAGCGGTGCTGACCTTGGATGAAGACACATTTACTGAGGGCTCGCATTTCAATGTGGGCCCGTGGCCCTGGCAGCCCACTTTCAAGTTCAACAGGCCCTTCCTGGTTATCGTCATGGATGTCACCATAAACTTTCCCATCTTCCTGGGAAAAGTGGTGAATCCCAGCCAAGGCTAACAGCCCCCATCAGGGCCCGCCCCCGTCAGGCCCTGCCCCAAACACAATAAAGTCTGAGCCTCCTCCTAGAGTCCACCTGCGAACCCTGGCCGCCCCGGAGCTCATGTGGTCTCCACTGTGTCGGTGCCGCCCACGGCCAAGCCCATGAGGTCCCTGTGCAGCACGGAGCTATGTGGGCGGTGATGAGTGTGGGGAACCTGCACCCAAGGCTCTGAGGCCCTCAGCTCCCGGAAGCGCTCCCGGCTTTCCAGCCTCGTTGGGTTATCTTGGAGGGACGGCGTGGCTCTCACTCCAGGCTGGGGGTCCAGGCCCACCGAATGTCCACATCCTCCTAGGCCTGCCTAGCCCACCCTGGAGTCCTGCCACCACCGCCAGGGCCCTTACCACTCCCAGGCTGCCTCTGACCCACGCAGCCCTGCCCGCTGGCATCTCTGCCTAAGGCAGCACCACGCACCCCCAGGCAATTCCGCACACTCCCAGGCTGCCCCGCCCTTTTGTCAGCTGCCCCGCCCCATACTGTCCCCTCCATCCCATTGGATGCCCAACCCATCCCAGGCCACTCCCCTCCCATGCCGCCCATTTCCAGGATGCCCTCTTTGCTCCCACAGCTGGCTGCTCAAGCCTTGTACCGTGCGCTGAGTCCCCACAGCAGAAGGGGAAGCCCGTGTCCCCTGGTCACCTCTCCTCCCCGCCCCCGACCCCTCCCCGCAGCCCCTCCCACTCTCAGGTGTCTCCTAGAACAGAAGAGGCAGAGTTTCCCAGGAGCCCTTGCTCTCTGGGTTGCACCTGGTTGCACCTGCTCTCAGGCTGTCAGGGTCTCTGGGGCTTGGACTCTCGCCCTCCTCAAAGTCACCAGAACCACCCAGAGGGCCACACTGCGCCCATGTAGAACTCATCCCCCCTTGAACCATGAGGCACGGGTGCTGCGTGGCTCTGGCAAGACGCACATCCCCCTGCCCAGCGGGGTGCAGTGGATCTGCTGGGCCCAGGCTGCCTCGTGCTGCAGGGGCCCCAGCCCAGAGCCCTGTATGTCCCAGAGCAGCGCAGGTTTGGTGTGTGCCGCAAGCGCCCAGCGGAGGAAGAGGCAGAGGCGGTTCCCAGGCAGCGACCCCCAGGATGTCCTCAGCAAAGCGGCCAATGCCGGTGCCCTGCCCTCCAGCTCCGGGGCTGTGCGCTAAGGAAGCTTCTGTTTTTGTGAGGTTGGCCTGCTTCATTATTTCACCATAGCCCTGAACACTGCATTGCCAGTGTGGGGGCAGGGTGGGCAGCTGCCCAGGGGCGAGAAGGATGGGCCTGGACAAGGGAGCCCCGTCTGCCTCCTTTTCTGCTAGTGAGCCCAGGAGGGTCCTGCCTCCCCACCTCAGCTGCTCGAATCCCACAGAGAGCCCTCATGTTCAGGCGGCCCCTGCTCTGCCCGGTCAGATCAGCGCCCTTGCACCACCAGACCAGGCTCTGGCTAAACACCCCCCCCCCCCGGGAGCTGCCGCCTATCTGCCCCTCTCTACCCCTGCCTGTGACTGTGCCTGGCCTGGGGCTCCCCCTGTCGCCCCCGCTGCTCCCTGAGGCTGAGGCCGTGCAGCTGTGCGTCCCGACGCCTACCCTGCCTCTCCTGTCACCCCAACCACTACGCCCGGCCCCCAGCAGCCTGGGGGCCCCATCCTCACACCACCCCCTGCTCCCTGCAGGACAGGTGCACCTGCTGCGTCTGCCTAGAACACCGTTCTCCACCTCCACCCTCTCCTCCCTGGGCGATGCCCCGCCTGCTGCTCAGTGCCAATGCTCCTTCCTCAGGCGGCCCCTCTGCGGGACCTGCTGCGCTTCTGTCCCCCCAGCCCCTGGGCAAGGGTTTAGGAACTGCCCACAGCTCAGCCGGCCCGCTGGCAAGGGCGGCGCGCCCTCTTCTGGTGAATCGCTGAACTGCAGGGACGATCTGCACAGCACAGGCACTGAGTCATGGGTGAGGGAGTTGAGACCCCTGTGGGGAGCTCAGGAAAATGCAGGTTCCCGCCCTCCTGACGCCACGCCCACCGATGGTTCTGAGGCAGGGGGCTGGTGGGAGCGCCCGCGACTCTGGGCTGTGACCAGCTGCCCTCTGGAGGCCCCCAGGGCCACCCTGAAGCAGGGAGCGTGGCTCTGGGCAAAGCTGTCGAGTCCTCCAGTGCTGCCGCCGCCACCTCTGGGGCCTCTCGGGCAGCGTCTGTGACCAAGCCTGGCTGAGCAGAGGATTCACCTGGGAGACGCAGGGCTCCCTGGCCCTGGCGCCCCCACCCCGCCCCGAGCAGGGTCCAGTCCCCTCCGAGGGAGTGGCCCACAGCAGGCCCCACCACAGGCTGGGCTTAGGTCTCCCTCTTTCGAACAGCAGGGGTCAAAAGTGGAGCTAAAGAGCACGGGGCCAGGGCCAGGGCCGGCTGTGTGACCTCGAGAAGACGCTCAGCCTCTCTGGGCCCCATCACCCCCTCTCATGGGTGGGGAGGGAGCACACTTCCTGAGAGTCCTGGGATGACGTCCTGTGGTCGCATCACCAGGCAGGGTGGGCGACGTGGCTTGGGAGCAGCCCCTCTGTCCCCAAGGCCCCCTCCCAGTGCCATCCAGCTGCAGCCCCTGGGACAGCCCCAGGCGGGACCTCCCAGCTGGGCCCAAAAGCACCAGCACTGTGAGGTGAGGACAGTGCCTACTAGCTGCTGCGGCTTCTCCCCACCAGTGGCGGCTGGTGCGCTGCCGGCAGCCACGGCCAGGACGCAGGTTCCTCCCGGCTTGCAGGGGGCAGGAGGACACCGTGAGTTCAGAGAAAGAGAAAGCAAGGCCAAGGCCCGGGGGGAGGCCCGCGAAGCTAACCACCTGGGCCTTGTCCCCTCTGCCTCCCAGCCCTGGGCCTTGTCCCCTCTGTCCCCCGGCCCTGGGCCTCGTCCGCCCTGGCCTGGCCGCCATCGGGAGAGGGGCCGGTCTTGGCCCACTCTCCTGACCGCAATGAATAGCTGAGGCCCGGTGCCTTTATGAAGGAAAAAGTCTAACCTGGCTCTGCTGGTTCCCAGGCTCGGCTCGGCTTCTGCGGTCTCTGGTGAGGGCCTCGTGGCAGCTGTGGTCACACTGAGGGGAAGGAGTGACAGGGAGGAAGGTGCAGGAAGCCGGACACAGGGCGGGGCCGCCTTGCCCAGCCTTCCCAGAAGTCCTTGCCCAGCCTGTGGGCACTTGGTCCCACCTCTTATAGGACCCGTCCCTGCCAACATCAGCTCACGGGGGGCCGTACTCCTCCCACTCTCCAACCGACAGCAGGGTTCAGCTCCCTCGTTAAAGGGGAGATGTGCAGGGCGAGTCGCTGCCAGAGACGGGGTCCCCTTGCCCAGGAATGCGCTGTCCTTTTCGGCTATCAACATGAGGAATCAGGATGCCAGTCTAGGAGTTACAGTGCAGGGCTGCAAACTGGGGCTCCGGGCAGGTGCCAGCGCGGCTGCAGGGTGTCTAGTCTGTAGTCCAGTGTGCACCTTACCAAGTCACCTGTAGCTCACTGCTGGGGGTTGGCCCCAGCCCCTGGTGGGAGGCAGGCAACGGAGGTGCAGAGAGGGGGGTGGGCAGCAAGTGAGGGTCTCCATGGAGACCAGACCCGCCAAAGGTCTCAGCCTGGGCCTCTGGGAGAAGCCAGAACCTGTTCTCCCCCAACGTGAGCAGGTGCAGCCCACTGGGTCCCCAGAGGGAGGCTCCCGGTGGAGCCCTCCAGGGCTGTTCATTAATCATTACCTGGCCAGGAGGTGGCGCTCAGAGGTGGGACCTTGTTTTTCGATCTCCTGGGCTTGGGAAGCCGCCTCTGGAAGTCAGACAGCCCCCGGGGGGCCACTCCAGGACCCACTTGCGTGAGTAACCGGGAGAGGGTAGAGACTGCAGACTGCCAGGGCAGGGGAACCTGTTTTTGCCGAGGGCCCTTTGGCTTTTTATAACGTCATTCACGGGCCACACACAGTTGTCAACTTGCGACTTAGCCTGCTAGAATTTCCAGTCCTGCCTGCGGCTGCCTTGACAGGGTTGGACCACAGGACTTTACAGACCTGATACAGCCCGTGGGGCAGCCGGTCCCCACCCCTGCCAGAAGGAAGGGGCCACTTGAGTAGGACTGAGAGCTTCCCGGGGTCACCAGGCAAGTCCAGGACAGGCCAGGACAGTGGGCGCCCTCCAACGAGGTGAGAAATGGGGGTCAGAGTGACCCCTGTAGGCCACCGCAGCCAACCACCCTATGGCTCTGCTCCCTGGGGCCCCGCCGGTGCAGGGCAGTCAGCCAGGACCCAGTCCTGGAGCTCTGGTGGCGCTCAAGTGGGGCCATTCTGGGTTTCTCCACTGGACAGCCACGGAGGCAGATGTGGGGGTGGGGCGGGGTGGGGTCCAAGCACATGTGTTAAGGGTCCCACGTCAGCTTCACCCCAACCCATGAAATCCCAGGATGGACCCTCCTAGAGAGGAAGCCATGACAATGGTCTGGGTTGGAGCTGACTCCACCCCCACGAGCTACAGGGCACGTGATAAACTTTGTAAATGTAGCACATGCAAATCGAGAGAACCGGAACTTCTGTGTCTGTACACTGAGGGTTGGTGGAACCCAGCCATGCCCCGGGCGAGTGTGTGCGGCTGTGCCGGCCACACGGAGAGCAGCTATTGGAGACCAGACGAGGGTCCCAGCAGGGGAGGGGGCAGCCTTTGGGCCGTCCTGAGAGCTGAGCTGGGGTGGGGGAGCAGGAGGTGAGGGCGAGGTTAGGGATGGCCTGCGGGGTACCAGGGGTGGCAGGGCCAGCTGGTGGCGTGAGAGCAGATTGGGTGGCGGAGATCAGAGCATCCTGGCGTGGGCAGGATCAGGTCATTATGAGAAGGTGACGGATCCCATCCCTGCAACCTCGGGCAAATGGCTCACTGGGGTCAGCGTGCTCATTGGACCGGGCACTAACAGGAGGCGCCGTTCCGCTGCCCTCGCTGATGGTGGGAGAGAGGCTGGCACCCGGTGACGTGCACCTCGGAGCATGGTGGAGGCTGCCCTGGGCAGGGCCCGCAGACTGGGGCCTCGCTCCCACATTTGCTGGTTACCAGCTTGGAGAAGTCCCTTCTGCACCCTTGGCTTCTCTCGCTGCGGGCTGGAATGGAGACTCGAGGCAGGCAGAGCTCCCGGAGACAGGAAATGAAGGGAGAGGGTGGACACCAGGTGTGCCTTGGAAATCTACTGCATCGGCACAGGAGAGCTGTGTCACCCAGGCCACCCAAGTGTGAGGGTGAGTGCCCCCTACAGGAGCCAAGGCTGTTACTCAGGGCCTCTGCCCATCCTCTGGGCGGGGCCGGGTGTCCGCTGGGGAATCTCCAGGCCTCAGAGCGCAGAGGATGCTCCCTGCTGTGCACCTGCTCCTCCTCCTGGCCGGCCCCCTGGCCCTGGCTGGTGGGCAGCTGGGGGTGAAGCGCACACCAACGCCTCCAGGCAGCAGCTTCCAGGGACAGAGGAGGGCTCCCCAGCCTCAAAATTGCCTGGCAACACTGGCTTTGCCTTCCGCCTCTACCACCTGGTGGCCTCCGAACGGCCTGGGGCGAACATCTTCTCCCCACTGAGTGTCTCGGTCACCTTGGCCCTGCTCTCCCTGGGGGCCCGCTCCAATACCCAGATCCTCCAGGGCCTGGGCTTCAACCTCACGGAGCTGCCCAGGGCCACCATCCCCCAGGGCTTCCGGCACCTCCTGCACACACTCAGCCTCTCGGGCCACAGGCTGGAGACCCACGTGGGCAGCTCCCTGTTTCTGAGCCAAGACTTGGAGCCCCTCCCGAGGTTCCTGAACAACACATGGCCTTCTACACGTCCAGGCTCTTCCGCACCAACTTCCGAGAGCCCGAGGATGCAGCCCAGCTCATCAATGACCACGTCAGGGCGGAGACCCGGGGCAAGATCACAGATCTGGTCAGAGAACTCAAACCCAGCACCCAGCTCGTGCTGGCGAACTACATCTACTTCAAGGGTAAGAGTCTGGATCTTGGTGGGTCCTAGGTCCCCCCCCCGCACCCTAATTTGCCAAGTGTTCAGATATCCAAAAGGAGAACTGGGAAGGCTGGGTGTGACGGAAACACGCAGCCCACCAGGGACATCCTGTTCCAGCGTTGTCCTGTGTTTGCCAGTTTTCCTACCTCGACTGTTTATTCTTGCAATACAAGTGACAGGACTGTGTTAGAGGCAGCCACCAGAGGGAGCTGCTGGGCCCAGATCTGCACTCAGCTCCGCCCACTGTCAAAGGCCCTCCTCTACCTCAGGTTTTGCGTTGTGCTGTTTCAGTAATGCGCTGAAACGATTCAATAGAAGATTCCAGAAATAAACAACCTGCCACTTTAAAAGAACTCCGATTGCAGTATACGATTATAATTTCCCTGTTGTATCACGCATCATTGTTGTTGATCTCAACTGTGCCTAATTCAGAAGTCGAGTTTAGCATGGGTCTGTGTGTCTAGAAAAGAGCATGCAGGGTTCCGTCGTGTCCGTGGTTCCGTGCATCCCTGGGGGACGTGGACCATAGCCCACCAGCTGCCCCGCAGACAATGGGAACTCGGATGCTCCTGAGCAGAAGGCCTAAAGGGCTAAGAAAACCCCAGTCCCTGTGCCCACTCTGGCTGGCCACGTGCCCCTGTAACTGAAGTTTTATTGGCACACAGTCACGCCCGTTCATTACGGGCCCTGGCAGAGTTCCTGCTGCCATGGCGGATGGAGCAGGGATGGGTCAGCTGCAGAGACTGAATGACCCACAACGCCCCAGACGCCATCTCTGCCGACTGCCTCTGCCTGCCGACCCGGCCGCTCCCTACGCTCCATGAAAAGCACTTGCCATTGCTCTGATGATAGCAGTTCTCATTCTGAAGCTTCCAAGTCACGTGAAAGAGAACATAGGATTCACCCTGACCCCATAGGACCCACCTCATCCTATAGACTCACTCCATCCCAGTGGATCCACCCATCCTATAGGCTCCACCCTTACCCTATGGGATCCACCCCTACCCTATAGGCTCCACCCCTACCCTATGGGATCCACCCCTACCCTATAGGCTCCACCCCCATCCTATAGGCTCCACCCCTTTCCTATAGGCTCCACCCCTTTCCTATAGGCTCCACCCCATCCTATATGATTCACTCCATCCTAACAGATTCACTCATCCTATAGGCTCCACCTCTATCTTATGGGATCTACCACTACCCTATAAGCTCCACCCCTAACCTATAGGCTCCACCCCTTTCCTATGGGATCCTATAGGACTCACTCCATCCTAACATATTCACCCATCTTATAGGCTCCACCCTTTTCCTATAGGCCCCACCCTTTTCCTATAGGGCTCACCCATCCTATAGGCCCCACCCCTACCCTTTGGGATCCTGTAGGATTCACTCCTGCTTTTCTGCAGTGAAGGCTCAAGGGGAGCAATGGTGGCTTCTCGCCTCCTTCCAAATCCCACATGTCACCAGCGCAAAGCCAGAACCCACAGGCCGCGAAACTCCGGGACGCGTTCCCAGACTTGTGGTCCAGGCAGGCTGCTCATCGCGCCTTCAGCACGCGGGATTTTCCACACTACGGAGGACTTTTAAATACTTTTAATTTTGAAATAACCAAGGAAGGAGGGAAACCAGTAGCGTGGGTTTCGCAGTCGGGAAGACACTGGCCGGACTCCCAGGTCTCTCCATTTTGTCCGGATTGATCCTGGCATGGAGCCATGTGCATCCCCTCCTGTCCTCGCCTCCCTCCAGGCACCGCCCCCATACGCAGTGCTGGCCCTGTGACCACCTCCTCGGCTCTCTCCTCCTTCCCACTTCCCTGGTCCAATTTGCCTGAACCCCATGATCTCCATCGGCAGCTGAATGAGGGTGGAGAAGGAGACCCCCCTGGACTGTGGGCCTCCCCTGGGATCTGTGGGCAAGGTTCTTCCTGGGCACCCCACACCGCCCCCACCCTGTGTGAGACTCCACTCTCCCGAAACCAAGAACTGCCTCTTCCTCCTCCAACCCCTGCACACAGCTCACTTGAACTTGAGAACCTCGCCTCATCTCCGCCGGGGAAACAGGAAGTCCCCCCACTTCTCACCTCCAGACTCCAGACTCCCCTGCCTGCACTTGGAGCCCAAGCTGAGAGCCCTCCTCTCTTAAGGAGGGTGGAGTCCGTTCCCACATCCAGCGTCTCCTCTTTCTGTCTTAGAGATCCCAACCCAACCCCTTTCCAGCATCCTCTGTTACTCTGCATTCTTCTTCTTCTTCTTCTTTTTTTTTTAATTAATGTATTTGTTTGAAAGTCAGAGTTACAGAGAGAGGGACAGACACACAGGGAGATCTTCCATCTTCTGGTTCACTCCCCAGATGGCCGCAATGGCCAGGGCTGGGCCAGGAGCCAGGAGCTTTTTCTGACTCTCACACAAGGGTGTGTTGGCCCAAACACCTGTGCCTTCTTCCACTGCTTTCCCAGGCGCATTAGCAGGGGACTGCATGGGAAGTGGAGCAGCCAGGACTTGAACCTGCACTCATATAGGAGGCCGGCATCGCAGGTGGTGGCTTTACCTGCTACAACACTGGCCCCTACTCTGCCTTCTGTGCCCACCCCATTCACACATCTGCACGGGGGTGCCGCCTGCCCCCATCCTGTCTCACAGTTCAGTGAGCCCTAAGGCCCCAGGCCCCGGGCAGTCAGCTGGTGAAAGGCCTGGGGTGCACTGTGTGGGGGCAGCAAGGGAGGATCTGAAACTCCTGTGCTGTTCGGTCCATCTTCGCTGCAGCGCTGTGGGAGAAGCCATTCATCCTCGCCCAGACCAAGCCCCAAGACTTCTACGTGGACGAGAGCACAGTGGTCCAGGTGCCCATGATGCTGCAGCACCAGCAGCACCGCTGGTACCTCCAGGACCAGCACCTGGCCTGCTCCGTGCTGCGCATGGACTACAAGGGAGGCGCCTCGGCCCTCTTTGTCCTTCCCGACCGAGGCAAAATGGCAGAGGTGGAGGAGGCGCTGACGCCCAGGACGCTGCGGCGATGGGACAGCTTGCTGAGCAGGAGGTGAGCGGTGCGGCCCTGCAGAGGCCCCTCTGATGAAAGCTGGGAGTGCCCGCCCCCCCGCTGGATCGCGAAAGAACCTTTGAGCCTCATCCTTAACTAACAAACTCTCCCATTGTAGTTAAAATGAGGCTCCCTTCACTAGGGCAGAGAAACACCCCAAGAAGTAAGGGGCCTGTGTCAAGTCTGCCTCTCTGGGGTCAGCCCTGGCCCTGCCAGGGTGGGGATGGTTAAGAAAGTTCCACCCAGGCCGGTGCCACGGCTCACTAGGCTAATCCTCTGCCTGCAGCGCTGTCACACCGGGTTCTAGTCCCGGTTGGGGCGCCGGATTCTGTCCCGGTTGCCCCTCTTCCAGGCCAGCTCTCTGCTGTGGCCCGGGAGTGCAGTGGAGGATGGTCCAAGTGCTTGGGCCCTGCACCCCATGGGAGACCAGGAGAAGCACCTGGCTCCTGCCTTCGGATCAGTGCGGTGCGCTGGCCACAGCGCGCTGGCCGCAGCAGCCATTGGAGGATGAACCAACGGCAAAAGGAAGACCTTTCTCTCTGTCTCTCTCTCTCTCACTGTCCACTCTGTCTGTCAAAAAATACATAAATAAATAAAGCTCCACCCAACCACCCCAGGACACAGCCAAGAAGCTTCCCACTGGCTTGTGGCCATGAGAAACAAGGTCCAACCAACACCTGCCGGAAAGCAGCCGGTGGCCATCAGCTGTGGGTGGGAAAGTTGACACAGCCCTGGTGGTACAGGGAGTCCCACCAAGCAAACACAGTGAGACCCACAGGGCTCCCACAGAGGTGAATGCCTGTGTGCCACCAAGAGTCACTGGCACCCAGGCAGAGGGCAGCCTGTGCCATGGGGGAGGTCCCCAGGCCGAGGGCCCGGGGCTAGGGAGCCTGGGCTGCAGCCACTGCGGGCTCTTGCCGCAGGGGGTGCTGTGGTGCCAGAGTGCCAGGCAGGCGTGCTGTGCCCTGCAGGGCCCCTGGCCTGTCCTGACCCGCTGTCCTCAGCCAGTATCACTTGCAGGAACTTTTACAAGCCGCTGGAGCTGCATCTCCCCAAGTTCTCCATTTCTGGCTCCTACCTGCTCAATCAGATCTTGCCCAAGCTCGGCTTCACAGAACTGGTCTCCCCACGGGCTGACTTTTCCGGCATCAGCGAACGTGAGAAACTGCAGGTGTCCAGAGTGAGTCATCTCCACCATCAGCCCCTGGAGACCTGGGAGGGCACTGACTTCTGCCCCCAGGAAGCTGCTGGGGCCAGCAGGTGTGCGCCCTGCCGCCACATGGAGTCTCCAAGCCCGAGGCTGCTCGGTCATCCACCGCCACGTGCTGGGCGTGGAGCTAGGTGTCCCCCAGTGCCTGGCCTCAGGGACCTTTCCTGCTCTACTCTGGGAGACAGCATTCGCCTAGCTGGTGACAACGCCATGGGAGGGACAGAGGAGGGGCAGACGAGGCTGGCTTGGGTGCAGGTGTTATCCTGGGGAAAGACTTGAAAAACAGACCTGTGGCTTCAGCTAAGAGAAGCAGATGCAGACCCGAGGGAGGTGTCTCGAGTCTGAGGGTTCGAGCTCCAGGTCTGTCTCGTATGGTGCTGGGGTTGCTTTGTTCCTGAATTTATTTTCCTCATCTGTAAAGTGGGCATTACACGGCTGACCTCATAGGCTGGCTAGGAAGATCACACAAGACGACAGGTGCTGTGCCCGAGGCCCAGAGCAGGTGCTCACTTGAGCATAGTTCTCGCTACTGCGTATCCTGGACGAGCATCCAGCTCCATGACCCACGGGTGCAGTGACCCCAGCTGTGCTGTCCCCAGTCAGCGTGACTCGTGAAACACAGCCTTGGGCTCAAGCAGGCGCCCAGGCCCCGTGTAGGTTGCCCCGGGGATAATGCCTGTGATTTCTCTCCCAGAGTTTCCACAAGGCCACCCTTGACATTGACGAGGCCGGCACAGAGGCAGCGGCGGCCACGGGCACCTCCATCATCTTGCTGTCCGCCCAGAAGAATCACTGAGTCCTGTGGTTCAACCGGCCCTTCCTGGTGGTGATCTCCTCCCCCAGCACCCAGGGCGTGCTCTTCCTGGGCAGGGTCGTCAACCCCACAAAGCTGTAGCCTCCTCCAGCGGGAGGGCATGGCCTGGGACAAGCTCCCTGTACTGAGTGGGGGCCGAGGATGGTGCCGGGAGCCCAGGGCAGAGGGGTTGGTGAGGGGCGGGAGTGGTGGTCCCTAGATGGGCTGGATGGAGGGAGAAACCCTCCCAGGGTGACTGTGAGGATTAAACAGAGGAAGAACTTTGAAGTCCTGGTCCACAGCTCGCACACAGCAGGTGTTTAATTATGGCGTGCTTGCCTGGTCCTCCAGGCTCCGCCCCCTCCCTCCAGGTTCCAGGGCTTGTTGGTATGTGGGTGGAGCGCCCCAGGCAGGCCAGTGCCTGTGTCCACAGCAAGGTCTGGGAGGCCTTTGCGGGGAGCGCACACACCAAGGCTGCCACACGGCGGCCTGAAGGAGGGGCCTGGTGAGGCCCCGCCCCAGCAGCGGCTCTCCTGGGTACATGGCGTGGTCCCCGGGCTGCTTCAGGAATGGAGCCCTGGTCTCTGTGCTGGCTGTGCCAGTGATGTGCTCTGGGGCTGCAGGCAAAGCCCCGCTCTTCCTGAGTAGCACAGGCTGGCCCAGTTGGCCCAGCTCTCGCCATTGGCATACATGCACTGTATTCTCGGGGGAGGGTCCCCCCAGAGTCCGGGGAAATAACCCAGAGGCCTGTGGAAAGAGGCAGGAGCTGGCTGTGTGTGCCCCAAGCCTCAGGGACTTCTGGCAAATGCGGGTTTTCGTGGTGGCCAGTGTGACAGTGGAACCCCTGGGAGAGTGAGCTTGGACTGCCCAAAGGAGGGGCTCTCCCTGCCTCTCCCTGGGCCCGGCTCACCCTCTGTTGGGAGGTCTGGAGTAAGACTTCCTACAAGGCTCTGCCTCCAGCCGCTCACCCCTGGCCTGGAGCCAGGCAGCCTGTCTTGCTCCCACAGGTTGTCGGCACGTGGACTTCAAAATCCCTGGGTTCAGATCCCAGCTCTGCTGCTTAGAAGCTGTGCAATTTGGAGAAGTTGAGCACCTCTCTGGGCATCGGTGTCCCCAGCTATGTAAGAGGATTGTCTACCTCATGGCTCTGCTGTGAGGGCTAAAAAGCTGCCATATATGCGAAGTCTTAAACAGTGCTATGCAAACACTAACTGTATTATTTAAATATTCGTTTATTTATTTATTTGAAAGGCAGAGAAAGAAAGAGAGAGCGAGAGAGATCTTCCGTCCACTGGCTCACTCTTCGAATGGCCTCCGGGCTGCAGAGCAAGGAGCCTGGAACTCCATCCAGGTCTCCCATGTCGATGGCAGGGGCCTGCACGCTTGAGCCGTCTTCTGCTGCCGGGGTCCCAGGCACATCAGCAGGGAGCTGGATCAGAAGCAGAGCAGCTGGGACCCGACCCAGCACTCCAGATATGGGATGCTGGCGTCAGCATCGCAAGTGGCAGCTTAACTGGCTGTGCCACAACAATGGCTCTTAGCCATATCCCACGGCTCTGGGTAACCCGGGCTGCCCCCACCAGCTCTGAGTGTGTGTGGGGGTCTCCCCACCAAATCCACGTGCCGCATGGGGACCCCAAATCCCTCTCATTTTTGCACTTTCACGACTCGGGAAAACTGACCCAGAATCCCAGTAGGGTGATCCAAAACTGAAGGTGTTTTGTCATCCTTGTCCTCACAGCCCTTGTTGCTGGGGTTCCTAACGGAGCCTGTGGAAGGTTCTAGATCATCACTCATCTCCCTTTCTCTCAGTAGATCCAGCCAGGGCTCCTGGCTCTCTGTTCTGGATGCAAAGGCGGGGGCTGTTACTTTGGGACCTGCTCAAGGAATCATCTTGGCTCCAGGAGAGCTGGCTGCTGGCTGCACCCCCTCCATGGTCCTGCTGGGTGTCCAGGAGGCCCGAGGTCCATTCTGAAAACTCGGGCTATGGGTTTGAGAGCAAGAGCCAGCTGGCCCAGGCCCTTGTCCCGGCTCACAGGACACTTCCCTGTCCCAACCCGAGTTGTCACCAGTAGTAACCCAGGGTGCAATAGGAGAAACACTTCCTGTTAGGTGACTGCTCGTGACGCAAAATATTCCAGGGACCTTGTGACATGGCGCCTGGCCCCAGTACTGCTGCAGCCCCAGGGATTGGCTTATTGCCATGAAATCAGGAACCCGATCTCCCAAGAAACAGGCAGACCCCTTTTTATAGAATGATAGCCACTGCTGAAGGGAGGGGGCCGCCCTGGGGACTTCCTCTCCCTCCTGCCTCCAGAATGCAGCCCCGAGCCGGACACAGGACAGCCTCGGGAGAGCAATGACAAGGAAAGCACCCAAGGGAGACAATGTCTAAGCCGGGGTGTCCTGGGCTCAGCTCGCCAGCTCCACGCACGATCATGAGGCCCTGTGAACTCCCTGGGACCCCAGAGGGCCTCTAGGCAGCAGCCTCCTTTCCAGCCCTTGGCTTTACCGGCTGACATGCGGGCCTGCTAAGCATGAATAGTGACCCCTTGCCCCCAAACCTACTAAGAAGTTGGAGAGGCAGCTGAGCGGGTGGACACCAGCGACAGGCAGAGGCCTGGGAGAAGGCCGGAGACGGGTTCCCTACAGCAATGGCCGTGCGTGGGTAGTGCCTGGATGAGCGATGCCCTGGTGTGATGGACAAGTCACCCCCAGGCCAGCCTCCTTGTTCAGACTGAGACATTCCCTCTCCCACTCAAGAAACGGTTCCAAGGCGCCTGTCTGCCACAGGGTGGTCCCTGCCTGTTTCTCCTGCCCTCCTGCCTCTGTCCCTCCTCTTGTTCTCATGTATCCAGTGACCTTGTTTTACTTTTTTTTAAAGATGTATACACACACAAACACACACATATGGAGAGAGAGAGAGAGAGAGAGAGAGGAAATCTTTCACCCACTAGTTCACTCTCCAAATCGCTACAATGCCAAGGCTGGGCTAGACTGAAGGCGGGAGCTTGAAACTCCATCCAGGTCTCCCACATGAGTGCAGGGAGCCAAGTCCTTGAGCCTTCATCTGCTGCTCTTCCAGGCGTATTAGCAGGAAACTGGATCAGATGACAGCTTCCAGGACTTGAACCATCGCTCCGATATGGGTGGAGCTTTATAGGCAGTGGCTGAGCCCACTGCACCACAACACTGGCCCTGTATCCAGTGATTTTAGTTACAGAAAATCTTCCTCAACCAGTAGTAGTTGGATGGATGGATGGGTGGGTGGGTGGGTGAGTGGGTGGGTGGATGGGTGACTGGGTGGATGCAAAGGGTGAGCTGTGAGCGAGGTCACCAAGCTATTTGTTCTGTGTCACCACCCCTTGAAACACCCCCGGAATTGATTGGGTAAATATTTAATCCTGCAGGCCCGATTTCAAAATGCCCTGCTGATGCATTAAAAACAAAAACAAGCCTAAACTAAAAGCTTCCGTGTGGGAGATGGTGTCTGTCCAGAGCAGGATCTGGGTGGTCTCCTGTCTGCCACTCACCGGGGCCTCTCCTTACCCTTGTCATCCTGGAGGTCGGGTGCCCCGTGTGTGAGTCCTGCCCTCATCTTCCTGTAGGAGAAGTGGAGTTCGCCTGTGCTCCATAATGGGAGGGCAGAGGGGACAGCATAGCGGCAGGGACATGGGCCGGGCCCCTGAGACCAGATCCCAGAGGAGGGTGACAGCGTGGGGACCCTGGTGGTACAGAGAGACACACAGTTTGGGATCTACATCAGTGACAAGGTGGAGGTCGGCCGTGTTTGAGCTGGGAAAAGCCAAACTGTCCTTACCACTGTCACAGTCACCCCAACACGTCGCGTTTGTGTGGGCAGACATGTGTGGTTCTCCCTGCCGACAACCAGTGTGCATCCACACCTACCGGATGTCTACAGTCCAATCCATGTGACCGCATTTACCTACAGGTAGAGGCAGAGCCCGTGGCTGAGGGCTCAGTCCCACGAGAGTGTCCCCAGTTCAGACACCAGTGGCGAGGAGCAGGTTGTCGCCTGTACTTCTGACCTACGGCCTATGGACTGGGGTTCCCACGCCCCTCCTTGGGTTCAATGAACCAGTGGCACGCAGAACTTGGGGGATGCTTGGAGCATTCGCTGATTTGTTGCGTCAGTGGCGGCTGCAAGAGAACAGAGAAGAGAGACGCAGGGCCAGGGACAGGGGAGAGGCATGAGCTGGAGTCCCCCACCGCCGTCTCTGTACAGACGCTCCCCACACCCGCTGGGACTGATCCAGCTCATCCTCACCCCGCCCCAGAGGTTGGGGGCAGGGAGGGGGTGAGGGACGAGACTGGCCTGGCACCAGACACCACCCTGAGGCTTTCCAGGAGGCTCCCAAGGTCCCCTCATCAGGACGAGACACGCTCCCGTCCCTCAGGACGTGGCCAAGGTCTCAGGGGCTCTGTGTCAGGAATGGGGATCGAAGATACAACTACAACCTGCATCGCCCTAGTGCCCCATCGACACGATGCTAAGACCTCGTCTCAGGAGCTGGCACAGTTACAGAGAGAGAGAGAGACAGACAGACAGACAGAGAGAGAGATCTGCCATTCCATTCTCTGGTTCACCTCCCAAATGGCCATAAAGGCCAGGGCTGGGTGAAGCCAAAGCCAAGAGCCAGGAGTCAGGTCTCCCACGTGGGTGCAGGGGCCCAAGAACTTGGGCCATCTTCCGCTGCTTTCCCAGGCCATACTAGGGAGCTGGATCAGAAGTGGAGCAGTAGGGACTTGAACCGGTACCCACGTGGGATGCTGCCGTGGCAGGGGTCAGCATTACCTACTACGCCACAGCACCAGCCCTGATATTCCTTGTTGTATCACAGTGCCACAGCTCTGCTCGGTAGCAGAGGGGCCTCCCCGTGCTGGGGGTGGGGTGGGGAGGGTGTACTTGCAGTCTGGGTGGCGGTCCCAGCTTCTCTGTGAAGTCTAGGCTGGGGGCATCTCCTTCACCTCGGAGCTTATGAACTTCCTCCCTGGAAGGGGAGGTGGCCCCTGGGACACAGGTCCCTGCACAGTGGCTTCGTGAACATGGGCAGACATGGGATGCTACTTGCCTGCCCGGCACGGAAGGGCAGACATGGGATGCCCTGCACATGCTGGCCTGGGGCTCTGGCTTCTGGCAGCAAGGAGTCGGCACCAACTCTGCCTGCCCGGCAAGGAAGGGCTTTCTGCGACCAGGGGCAGAGTGGATACCTACAGTCCCCAGGCTCTGAGCAGTGGCTGTGACCATGGCACAGGGCCCAGAGCTTTCCTGGATGCCCCAGAGACTGCGGAGCGTCCGAAGGTAGAACCTGGACTTCGGTCCAGGATGCCTGGATTTGAATCTGAGCCCCACCAGTGACAGATCCACTCAGAACAAAGGACCTGAGATGGCGCTGCAGCCCCCAGGGAGGCCTGGCCTTGGCGTCCTGCAGGCTGGGAGGCCGAAGTCAGGGGTGGGCTCCCGCTGGGGCGGCTGGGAAGGAGATCAGGCCTCGTCTGCCCTGGGCACACCTGGGCACGGAGGCCTCACCTCCAGCCCCACCCCCGGCTTCACAGGAGTCTCTGTGGGTATGGGGTCCAGAGCCCCCCCCCCTTAAACACCAGCATTCATCCTGGCCCAGGGGCCCACTCTGCTGTGGGGCAGCCTCATCATCACTCATTTCACCTGTAGGAACCCTGGTTCCAAACCAGCCGCATTGGACTTGGGGAGGGGACACAACTCAGCCCCTGTCACTGGGTGTGGCACCTGGGTCTCTCTGAGCTGCGATCCCCTCCCCAGTAAGAGGCAGTGAGGACCCCCGACTCAGGAGCCCACCATGGCACCTGGTGAGTGACTGCGCGCACAGCCCGGGGGTCAGCGGCACTGACACACGCTGCCTCGGTTCCTCTCTTTCCCCCAGTCTGTGCTCCGGAGCAGGCGGCACAGCGGCAAATGCCTGCCAGGCCAGGCAGCTCCCTGCACGGTGAGGTGGGCAGCAGGGGCAGCCAGAGCCCACCGAGAGGCATTCTGGGCAGCTCTGTGGCCAGCGCCGCAGGCCGAGCCCCACCCTCTCTGCAGTGTGGAAGTCACCTGCTGGGCATGGGGCTCTTGCTCCTCTTCCTGTGCAGAGAAAAACAAGTGACTCAGGACGGGCCTGGCCTGGGGTTGGGCTGGCCACCTCTGTGCAAGAACAAAACTAAGGGCTGCTGGGCCTGGAAAGGACACACCTGGGCCCAGCCGGTCCCCGCTCGTCAGGCAGGTGCAGCCCTCGCCAGCATCAGCTGCCTCTCTGGGTGCTGTGCCGCTGGGCAGGGATTGAGGACAAACCCCAGGGCGTGGCTGTGGCCTCCAGGTCCCCAGAGCCACCCAGTCCTGGCCTGAGTTCCCCTGGGGTGATTGCAGTCAGAGGGAGCCCAGCCCTGCCAGCGCCTTGGTTCCAATTCTGCTTTCAGAATGGTGGGAGAGCAAATTTCTGCCTTAAGGTATGCAGTTCAAGGTCATCTGTTGTGCCGACCTTGGGAGTCACCAGCCTCCGTTTGTCTTTCCTGCTCTCCACTCTCTGGAGCCCCTGGACTCAGCCCTGTCCTTTACCCCCTCCCATAGCATCTCCCTCCCAACCCTAGCCCTCCCTCCCAGCCCATCCCCCCCGCCCCGTGCACAGCTCCCTCCTCCCACCTCCGGGCCCTCTGCCCTGTCACCCCTTGACCTTTCAACCTGAGGCCCTGGGCCCTGCTCCACCTCCCACCAGGGTGACCTGGTGGCCTGGGGCCCACGGACCCTCCTCATCCTCCTGCATCTGACGCTGACCACAGCCCCCTCCCCCTCCTTCGGTTTCTGCCTCTGCCTGCACCTCCTCCTTCCACTCCCCCCATGTGCTCTTCGTCCTCTGCTCAGGGTCCCCAGAGCTCCCTTCTGCGTCCTCCTGTCCGGCCTCCCCCGTCTCCAGAACATCCCACCCTCAGCTGCTCCCTTCACCTTAGCCCCCTCTCTGCCCCTGGCCCAGGCCCCTCCTCCAGCCCCACTCACCTCCCCCACACCCCATCGTCTTCTCCACCAGCAGCCCCTGGGGCTCCCTAGGCCCCGTTCCCACCTTCCCCTCACACTGCATCCCCTCCAGCCCCACCAGGCAGCCTCAGCCCAGGCCCTCGTCTGGCACCTGAGGTCCCAGCACTTCCACACCTGCCTCGGATGCTGCTCTCTCCGCAGCTGAGCAGTCAAGCCCTGCCCCACCCCGGCATGAAGGACACCCACGCCCTGCATGTCCGAGCTGGCCCTGGCTTCTCTGTGCTCATTGCCTCCTTCCCCGCCCGCCTCCTGGCACTCCCCACCCCACCCCGCCCCCACCCCCTGGTCTCTGGGCTGCACTGCTCTTTTTCCTGCAGCCTCCCTTGGACTAACGAGCTTGAATCCAACTGCCTCTCTCCTCCACCCAGCCAGGGCCACTGTGTCCCAAAGCCCAGCTCCAAGGTCACCATCTCCAAGCAGCTCTTCCCACGCCACCCCTCCCTCCAGCCAGGAAGGGGCCCTGGCCCTGGCGTCTTCACCACAGGGGCCTCTGTCAGCTCCTTGTCTTCTGGGTTGGGCTCATCCACGCAGGCTGCGGCTGCTTCTGGAGGCCAGGAGTGCTTTCCAGAACATGATGAGTGCCAAGAAGCACCGATGGGGGTGCACAGTTTAGAAAAAGCAGGGAAAGGGGCCAGCATTGTGGCTCACTTGGTTGATCCTCCACCTGTGGCGCCGGCATCCCATATGGGCACTGGGTTCTGGTCCCGGTTGCTCCTCTTCCAGTCCAGCTCTCTGCTGTGGCCCAGGAAGGCAGTGGAGGATGGCCCAAGTGCTTGGGCCCTGCACCCGCATGGGAGACCAGGAGAAGCTCCTGGCTCCTGGCTTAGGATCGGCATAGCTCCGGCCGTAGCGGCCATTCAGGGGGTGAACCAACGGAAGGGAGACCTTTCTCTCTGTCTCTCTCTCACTGTCTATAACTCTACTTGTCAAATAAATAAAATAGTTTTAAAAAAAGAAAAGAAAAAGGAGGGAAAATGGGGTGAAGGGAGCCAAGGGATCAGGGCCACGTGTATTGACCCAGGCAGGCAGGCAGGCAAGCGAGGCCTGGCGGTAGGTAACAGGCACACAGCAGGTGCTGGAGGCAGGAGCAGCTCCACGAAGCCTGGGAGGAGAAGGCCAGTTACTAAGCAAAGGCCCAGAGCAGGACTCGCACCCAGGAGCAGGTGAGCTGCTCACCTGGCCTGCAGCTCCCTCCAGCACGGAGGGCTATACTTATGAACGTGTGCGCTGTGTGTTTGTGCATGTGTGCATACGTGTATGCATAGGTGGGGTGTGTGTTTGTGTCTAACACTGAATATGTGTATGTGACCATGTGTGTATGAACATGTGTATTGTGTGTGTGTTATGTATTTGTATATGTGTGTATGAACATGTGTGTAAGAATATGTGTGTGAATTTGGGACATGCTCAAGCTGACTTGCCCCAAATGATAGAGTTAGAAACATACCAGGGGATTCCAATTCAATCCCATCAAGGTGGCATGTACCAATGCCATCTCACTAGTCCAAGTGATCAATTTCAGTTCACAGTTGATCATAATGAAAGGACTAAAAGTCAAAGGGATCACATAAACAAGTCTAGTACCTGCTAATACTAACCGATAGAATAAATAAAGGGGAGAGTGATCCAGCATGGGAAGCGAGATACACAGCAGACTCATAGAATGGCAGATGTCCTAAACAGCACTCTGGCCTCAGAATCAGCCCTAAAGGCATTCAGATCTGGCTGAAAAGCCCATGAGAGTATTTCAGGCATGGAAAGCCAAGACACTCTGGCAAAAAAAAAAAAAACAACCAACCAACCAACCAAACAAACAAACAAAAAAACACTAAATGCTAAATGAAAGATCTCTGTGAGTGAGATCCTAGTGGAAAGAACAGGTCTTCAAAGAAGGAGGTACCTTTCTCTGAAGGGAGGAGAGAACCTCCACTTTGACTATGACCTTATCTAAACAAGATAAGAGTTGGAGAACTCAAAAGGCTTCCATAGCCTTGGAAACTCATGACTGGAGCATAGGGAGATTACTGATGCCATAAACAGGAGTGTCAATTTGTAAAGTCAACAACAGGAGTCACTGTGCACTTACTCCTCATGTAGGATCTCTGTCCTTAATGTGCTGTACATTGAGATTTAATGCTATAACGAGTATTCAAACAGTATATTTCACTTTGTGTTTCTATGGGGGTGCAAACTGTTGAAATCTTTACTTAATGTATACTAAACTGATCTTCTGTATATATAGAAAATTGAAAATGAATCTTGATATGAATGGAAGGGGAGAGAGAGCGGGAAAGGGGAGGG